GCATTCTCAGGGTGTACCGACATCCACTATAGCGACAGCTGTCAGTGCAAGTCAGTGAGGTCATTACAGGGCACACTAAAGTCACACCTCATGACCAGGACCCACATGACAGAAAGACAGTCTGACCACTACTGTGCTTGCATGCTCACTCACTCCCTCACACACACTCAAATCCACCCCTTCGTCCCTCCAGTCGGATCAGCGTCATTTAAAAAATTAGCTTCCGCTTCAGTTGTTCACAAATACGTAGTCCACGACTGGAAAAATGACATTCTGTACACTTGACCTAAATTACAATCACTCAGACATGTCCTATTCAATTAACGCATAGGAGGGGAAAAGATCTCGTTTGTTCTTGATGCTCTTGAACAGGTTGAGGTCAATATAAGGTACAAAACAGTCTAATGCAGACACAAAATCCTTATGCTTTGATTTGAAGTGGACAACATTCACATATATGCAGAACATCACCTACTGTGGCCTTAAGAAGCCAAAGAGGCAGTGAAACCTAAGGCACAAAATCTAAGGCTCTGAAAATAATTTTAATGGCAATGAAAATTCAAAACAGTGAATAAAAACACTGCTTGGTCTGCGCAGGTCAGCGCAGACATGTTGAAACCATTTGATCAGCAGCAGAGTGTAAAAGTCTGCTGTGTATAATCATTTCACAGTTTCTACGACAAACAGACAAGAGATTCATACTCTCTGTTCATGTCGAGATCAAGAGGGGTTATGACACTCAAGAACTTCTTCACTAAAGGTTTGATATTTGCAAACATGACACTCTACTCAACACACAGAATGAAGCAAAACAACAGAAACAGAAAGGAAAGTCCCAGGTAGCACACTAATGTCTTGCCAGAATCAAACGACAATCACAGTTCAACACATCACTTAAAAAATAATAGAATCCATTGCCTTAGAAGACCAATCATGCTCCGCTGTCTTTTGTGCTGTAGCCTACATACTGTAAAGATTTTATTAAGTTTATTGTATGTAAACTAGCTGCCACACATGTAGCCGAGATGTCCTCTAGACTCAGACGGCAGAATTCTATCAGGAGGGCAAAGTGCACCATGGCATCCGGTTCCTTGAGCTCATTATGACTGAGAATGAGGTGTGTCAGGTCTGTCTCACTGCCTTCCTCACACACACACACACACACACACACACACACACACACACACACACAGTCTACACCGGTGATGACACACATCAGTGCCCTCAATTGGGGTACCTCAGCCAAACAATGCTGTCTTTTAAAACAGAACTGATTCTCACATTTAAATGACTGTGAACAATGAGTAAAACCTATAACAGCTGATTGCTCTAAACTTTCAGTTCTTAACATCAAGCTGATCACCGTGTTTTTTAGTAAACTTAAGACAGAGTAAGCATATGTTTTTGAAAGGACTTTTTGAAAGCTTTAAATAAATAAATAAGTAAATACATAAATAAACAACCTGCAAATAAGGACACTGACACCACAGGCACTGTTGAGAGATTAGTAAGTTCAGCTGTCAGTGACTAGGACTGCTAGGCATGTCTCAAAGGATCACACCTCCAAAAGACAAGTACAGCACAAAATTACTGCCACAGGCTTCCACGGGGAATAGAACTGCATCCAGTTTTGGGCTGAAAACATCCTCAGCTTATGAAATAGTTTAGCACACTGAATATTTTTGGTTTGCAAAATATATGTATTTACCTATTTGCTTGGTAGTTAGCTTTATTTACCTGTTTTCCTCTGTCTGAGAGCTCAACAGCAGTGGAAAGTGATGATGTTCAAAATGTTCACATACACACAGAGCAGTAAAATAGTTCCAGAAACGTAAGATTACAAGCTTTCTGATATAGGGTATCAATCAAGTGCTGACTTGTGCTATTGAGTTTGCAGGAAGAAAAGCCAATCATCAAATATCAGCAAATAACTGTAAAATTTTATATGTATTCTCAGTCATAGATGCAACTGAGGGCCTGCCAGCTAGCTAGTAATCCAGAGAAGTAGGAAACTAATTTGGACTGCACCTGGAGTTTGTTTCCCCAGAGAAGCACCTGGGTTCATAAAAGCAGCAAACATATCAGTTATTTGAGTGGCTTATCCTTTTAATTAGAGAATTTATTGAACATTACCAATATCTGTTGCAGCCCTAATCTAAAGTGCAACTAATACTTTCTGTGGACACTAAGAAAACTGAACTTAAGGTAAGGTGTCAGTAATAATGTGCTTTAGCTGCTACAAAAAGTGCTTGGTCAATTATGACCGAAGAAGTCCAGTTATTCCTTGTTTTTTCTCTGAAATAATTCTGACTGTAAACACCACATGTTTCAAAGCTCTGGCATGCCACAGCAGCTCATGAAATTCAAAAATAGCCAAACATGATGTTTCTTAATAAAATAAGATGAAAATAATAGCACAACTGGACTGCTGCTAGCTGGCCTGCATGATTGCTAATCTATTGCAGGTGGTCCAGAATGCAGCAGCCTGACGTGCACTCTTACTGGTTTTATGTCTTATTATTAAGCCACTGTTGCCTGCACTGTGAGATCTCGCAATTCTTTCCTTCTTATTGTGTACAACTAAATTGTACTTTAGTTGAGCTGGCAACATGCTAGCTAAGCTAATACTAACCAGCTAAACTCTCCTGGTTAGCAGCACTGTTTAACATTTAGAATTTAATGAACATGGATTGAAAATTGTGCATTGCTTTCATTTATTTGGTGACTATGTAAGCGGACTGGACTTATTTAAATGCTTTCGGGTTTGAAATGACGCAGGATGCCGTAGTACAGCATCGACAAAAAGATAGAACCAATCAGTGAGCAGCCACCAAGTGGTTCTTTAGCCCAGAACACCAACCATGTCGAAAAAAAGCTCTTTTCGACGTGGTTCTTCTGTAGAAATGTCACTGGAAAGGCTGCCCTCCGTGCTCAGAACTGTTCGGCCCTGTGGTGTAAAAGAGACTAATAATAATAACCAACAAGAACCACTAAACTAATTAGGCCATTGTTTAAAATTAATACAGGCAAGAGTTATGCCATTACAGTGTAAAAGAATCTGTATAAGGTTGCTGTACTTTATTCATTGAGGTCCCTCATGTGACGTCCACATGCATAAAACTACTGAAGTGTATTGCTCAGTGTGCAAGGGGCCCTATTCTTTTAACAGTAAAAATGTCAGGCACTAAGACCCATATGAGTCATTAGTATCAGCTGCCTGAGGCCATGCTGAGAAGAATATGCTCACACAAAGGATGGCAATCCTACTTCTAAGCATGCAATGCCATATACAAATATGGCATCACAAATAGAAGAGGCACGTCCTGTTTGATGAGGCGCATCTTACACTGTCTAATATGTAGATTATCAATTAATATGAATCAGTAAGTAGGACAGAAACTGTGCTGTTTTGCCCATGTGAACTATGCCATTTGAAGCATCTGGGCTGCAGGGGGGCGTCCACGGGGCCAGCAATTCAGCACTGTAGCTCATGAACTCGCCTGCAATTAAACTGTCTCTTGTGTGAAGGCAGCAGGCGGCACGACCATTCACTTCCAAGTTTAAAACCTGTTCCACCTCGCCCTTTGTCTGTGAGCTACAGCAAGAGAAAGGGAGCGAGAAAGGAATAATTGTGCTCTCTTGTTTACCCCCATAAAAGTCAGAAAAAATGTTTATGGCCGACAGATGCTAAAGCTAACTTGTACATCCCTCTCTTCTCCTGAAAACCGTCCTTCAGCTGCGGGTGACCTGGGGTTAACCTCCCTCTGCGTTGCCATAGCAACAGAGGGTAGAGATAAAGAGAGGAAGTCAGACAGAGGAGAGTTATGTCCTGACACACGGCAGGACGGAGGGCCGCATGCCTACACTGCTGCTGCCCTGCCCCCACCATGCCATCTATACCATTCACATTCACTCGCACAAAAACACAGCACTGTTCACAAGGCAATGCACTTCACAAACCTAATTTAAAAAGACCCATCAATCTCCCGACCGAAATCCATCAATCACGTGACACAAAATGGCCTCTGGAGTTGCTTAGCTGGTGGACCAATGTGGCTACTGAATTTTTCAACCCTCTACATGATGCCAATATCATGCAAAAAGCCGCTCATTTGTTACTTCCTTCACCTTATGTGACTGCTAACCCCATTGATCATTTACAAGACAAGCAACATTGTCAAGTTTGGGGCACAATGATGTTTGGGGTTATATCCACTTACACTTATCTTTAAAAGTAACTACTTCATAGCCGCCTTTCAAAGTATTTCACGACATCATGTTCTTCTACAGGCTTAAAACCTTGAAAGAATTTAGAAAAGCTACGATCCTGAGCTAGTAGGGTATTTCAGTTGAATGTGGGTCAAGGTTATTCTGCTGAGGTCCAGTTGCAACAGGAAATGCTGTAAGACTCACTCTTGGTCAAATGACTTGGAAAGACTCACTGTTTCTGGACACAAACCTTAGCGACTACTAAAACCAGTGTTATCTGAAAAAAATTACTACAAGAATCTAACAACTACAAATGTTTATATTTATTTATTGGGACGTTATAACAATAATAACAAATAATATATTATTTATAATTATAATATTTTACCCCTTAATGTTCCCAGACTTATCAGTGAGTAAATACATGGAAAACAATGCAAACTGAATAAGTTATTCTCGGGTTACAGAAGTAAGGAATGGTAATCTGGACCCAGAGGAAGCTCATGGGTATTTGAGAGGTTAATAAAAATAGATCCATTTAATTCAACATTTTTAAACATATCCACTTAATACAAGCCTAAATAAAATTATTCCAAGCATCCAATTACATGAATAATCTGTAATATGAACAGATTTTGTCAGAACTAGAGCCAAGGCCAAGGCTATGACAACACCAAGGGTTAAAGGAAACACCTGCAAACAAAATGAACAGCAGCAGGTCATGCCCGACCCAAATGATTTGACCTCAAAAGACCCTTACAGCAAGCCAAGGCGTTCAGAAGTGAGCTTACCTCGAATCTGCTTTCCCCAGGTTTCCACTCGCTGGGTGTAGGAAGGTCTGGTTTCCCTCCATTTCTACGACACATTTTGTGTTCAGTTCCTTCTCTGTTAAGGTGAAACAGGAAAAGAAGGAGGGGATCCATTTAATTTGCTGCATTACGTACACAACACGCAGTTTCCATACACTAATCTAAATTATTAGCTCCTCACTACGTTTTACAATCTGACTCAATGTTGCATTGTTTACATGGTTTTAAAATGCCTTTGTGACCTGCTGACTATATGTATGCTGCTTTTCCTAAAGACAAAACAGTGAAAGCAACAGCAGTAAAATGTATAGCAGTACACACTGGTTTTTCAGAAAACTGGGGTCTAAACAAGAGGGAAAACACATAAGATCACTCTAATGACCGTGCCTGAAGATGCGTGAAACAGCTTATACCAAAGGCAAAACAAACTGAAAAATACAATGCAAAAGGGTCCTTAAATGGCTTTTTGAAGAGCATTTTAGGACAACACATTTGATACGGTGATTTCAAGGCTTAGCAGAGAGAAATTCATCTTAATTAATTACAAAAATCTGTTTAACTGGAGCAAGCCTGCCGGTCTGCACATGGTAAATGCAAATGGTACTGTCATTTGGGAATCTTATTAACAAAAGCATTAATCATTGTGTTCTCCAGCTGTACAACCAGGCTAAATATGGGCACATATTTAATCAAATCATGTCAAGATTTTAGATATTTTATGCATTACAGAAAGGCTCAACATGAGACCCTCACGAGACACAAGGGTTGCATCATCAGTAAAGGTTTTTTTTTTTAAATACTGTATTGAAATCACCACACCCTTAATATGCAGCATGTGCAATTGCATGGCACATGGTCACTGTCTGAAGAAAAGCATGCATCTCCAAAATGGTTAACATTCTTAACTTCTGATGCAAGTTAAAGCTGCACTATGTAAGTTTTTGGTTAGAATTCAAAGAAGTAACATTACTGAGTCAGTAAAAAAACACGGCAGAATATGGCATTCATGTGCTGCTGCAAGTCACCCTGTAAAGCCTGAAATAATCATAGAAAAGTTAGAGGTGTTGAGTCTGACTTTGGGGGAATTTTTCAGACCACGTCATAAGTCTTTACATATTAACACCACAAGTGCAGGCTCAGACAGAAAGTCTTGCTCGATGTTCTGGTCTCAAATGCAAAATTTATTATACTGATGAAGATATGATGACAATAATAGACAATTCACTAATATCCTCTAAAGACATGTTCTTCTCCGAGTTTTGATCGAGTTCTCGGTGCTACAATATGTTCTTCTATGTTGCTTGCAATTACAAAAGGGAGAAAGAAAAATATCTGGCAAAGGCAAAAACGATTTTGGAGACGACAGCAACAGTACGTTTACATGTTCATTCAAGCAACTGGCATAGACACCAACACCATCTGTAGCCAACACAGCCAAATGTTAGCCAAAGCAAATGGAAGAAAAAGTTATATAATGTTAACCACCAGATTGAACAGTGAATGGAAAGTAAACGTAATTCAACAATCACATCCAATGTTTTAGCACCACTGTTGGAAACCAATGGAGAACTAAGAGGATATATAGCTGACTCAGAAATCCTTGGAGAGGATACACCATGAAACCAAAGTGCCTTTGACCACCTCAGGCTTAAAGAGGAAACACAGGCTTCCTCCCTCCGCTGGTGGCTCAAGCCTGCTAAATAGGAACAGCCAGGGCAGCGGGTGCGGATAACAGCAGGGGAGAAAATAACGCCTAAAAATCTTAAACTCCCTTAAATGTGCTACAGAGGACAAGAGCGAAGTAGAGCGAGAGAGAACGCCATGGTAAAAGGTTGGTAAAAGTGACACATTAAGTTGATGTTTATTGCTTCCTGCTCACTCTGTAGCATCTGTGTTTGAAGGTCAGCAATCACATGTGACCTGTGGCAAAATGAATATGGTTTGAAACCAATAAAGACAATGACACTAAATTCTAATTCTTATTTCTATTTGCATCTGATTAAAGACAATGAAATCACACGCAGCACCTCATTAGTCATGAACTGTACAAGCCCTTGACTGCAACATGACAATAGATAAGAAGTTGATGTCATAGCTTTACTTTCCATGTGGACCATCAGGAAATTATTAACGAGTTAGACACTTCCTTGCCATGGTGTGTCCGAATAATTTGGCACAGTGGTCTTCGGACAAAGGTGTGGATGCATACTTTTTCTTCGAAGGTCTGAAACTCCTATGGCCATGGGAACATGCTCTGTTATGCAACGTTAGCAAACAGTCCATTATAGTCCATTCAGACTCCCTTCCTGCTTTTGTCCAGTGCACACACACACACAGAACGGGCAGAGCTATGGAGGGAGGGTGAAGGCAGAGACAGTAAGCTAGCCTACATTTTTAGGGCTCTACAAATGTATGCAAGCTAAGCCTTCAGCTTCCCTTCAATAAAAAAAAGACTTTTTACCAGCATGTATAACAAAACTCATTAAATGTGTGACCAAAAAACCACTTTGGAAATCATTCAGTGTTATAAAAGATGCAGATCTACTAAATACTTGCACAGATCCAAACATTAAAATGGAAACTGAAAGAGATTATTGTTGATCTCCAAAGCTAACACAGCTGATTGCTTCAATTCATTTAAATGGACTGGGTGGTTGGGCCACAAATCGCGGCCGACAAGTCTTGTGACCGAATTTTACGCTCAAATCTGCCACGTGACTAAATCGCACACTGAAACATTTTCTGCTTCGGTAGCTTTCATTTTCAGAGGCACAAGTCTACTTTCTTCTACTTTCAGAAGAGCTGTAAAGGCTCAATCAGAGCACATGTGACAGCTCAATTTTCAGCACTTTCAAACAGCTGAGGCTTTTGGATAACAACACTGCCTTCACTGGAGTACATTATGAAGCCTCAGAGTTGTGGTACTGTTTTAGCAGATCCCAGCTGAGAATTTAGCGATTATTATTTCTGTAAGATTTACACAGCCTTTTATAAAACTTACATTTTGGCATTTGAGAGGTCTAGGCTCCATAGAGTAAACTACTATGTATCACCACTGTTGGAGAGTTGAGGATTACAGGCATATCACTGTCGGCGAGTTGAGGATTACAGGCATATCACTGGAACAGAACACTGGACTGTCTTTTCCTAAGTAAACACTATTTTTGCATGATGTCACCACTTTCAGAAGAAGAGTCCACGTTGCAATAAGCTCCACGAACAGTTCTGTCCAACATATTATGACTTATACAGTGACACTGCTTTTCAGCTTTAGCAATACTTAGACATCCTTAAAAAGGGGGTTCTTCACTTCTTTACTGGTTCTTTAGTAAAGGAAACAGGTAGATATAAATATAGATATACTCATGACTACTTGAAGAACGATTGGGTTCTTTGCAGGGTGAAATGGTTCTTCTCCACGACTAAGAAACTGCTGTATATGGTCCTTTAGGTAACCTTTAAAAAAGTGCTTCTATAGCAGCAAAGATGGTTCTAAGGGTATCTTTAAAAGTCAAAGAAACGATTTTTGTACTATATAGCTGACACTGAGATCACGATATGATGCTTATAAAGTAACAGCTTCCCTGTTACCAGTCCCTGTTGTTTTTAGTTTTGCTTGTTTTCTTACTGTATTTTGCGCAGGTTATTAAAAGGTGTCCAGGCCCTGAAAGTTAACTGCAATGCATATAATGTGGATGTGACTGTCGTGTGGCTTCAGCTTGTTAAGAAGGAACAGTTCAAAATACATAAAAGTTCAAATAAACAGTAAGTTTCCTTTTTGGAAAATGTGGTTTCAATCTGGTTAATGTTTACAATACCATGTAAGATTCCTTTTGGTGTAAAAGAAGAAGCCAACAAAGAAGAAGAATGAGAGTTGTTTTAAGAGAAGAAAACAGAATACAGTCCAATGAAAACAAGCTATGTCAGATTTGTAAGACATTAACAGTACTCAGGAAGCACTGAGTCATTAATTTTCTTATTGATCACTGTAATGTCAGTAAATGTTTATTTTTTTTTTTTACCCATGTGGTTTTCAGAGATAAACAGACAATTTACCAGTCTTATCAATTTATTACCTTTTTTTTTATCTTACATCCCATCTTGACACAATACCGGTGATACAGCCACACTTTGGCCTTTCAGTTATTCATGCAGCCCTTTATACTGAGACAGAACTCATAAAGAGGTGCTCATTGTGGTGTAATTTTCCCAAGGTGAAAACATTCATAACTCACCTCTCCGGTTCATGGGACGGACCCTGACAGCCACCTTCACATTAGAGTCGTTCAGGTTGGTTTCACCCATGTTGTTTGCTTTTTAGTTGCAGACAAAGACAGCACGTCTATCTCCACCAAAGATGGTCTGGATGACAAATATTCAGTCAAAGCATCTAGGCCAGACACACCCAGAATCCTTGAAATCCTTGAAATAATGTCTGCTGTCAATATTTATTTCTGTGTCATCTCACTGACAGCATTCATAGCAGCAAAACACCCAAAAAGACGTTGTCAGCATTTTCCTTAGAGGACCGAGAGGACCGTTTCTCTCCAACATCTTGAACTCGGAAGAAAATCCATTTTCCTCTACACACTCAAAAAAAAGTCTGGCAACAGGCAAGAGAATATCTTCACAGATGAAGTCCCTGCTGTCTGTTAAGAAGCTGCTCCTGAGCAAAAAGCCAACCCAGCAGAGGACTAACACAGCCAACTCCCTGTTTGCTCCATGTTAAACTGAGCTCAGGAAAATCTTAGCCAGTCCACTGAAAACCAAGCAGGGCCTCAATTATTCATTGCCCTTACAGTCCAGCAGCTACCACTAACTATTTAGCCAAGTTTTACATTAACTGTCAAGCCATATAGCCACCTCACATAACCAACCGGTAACCAGTGAACTGTTATAAATCGTTCAACTAACACTAGCAAGCTGAGACCGGCTGTTAAAGCACAGCTGAGCAAAAGCAAGTTATCCGGCCGGGTGTGTTCACTCCTAAAGCCGGTCAGCTCGTTATTTAGGTCGCTAAACTCACTGAACTATTTCAGCCTGCTTTGCTAAACCGACTGAATTAAGCTTAAGAAAACAGTATTAGCTAGTTTAGCTAGCTAATGTGCCGCTAAACCCAAAAGCCCCTAAAGTTTCGCAGCCCAAATTAGTTAACTAAACGAAAACAATGATATGCTATAGATACCGTCGGAAGGCAAAGTTAAACACGAACACAAATACTGACTAAAATCGTAATTATCGTTGTCGTTGCTGTTATTATTGTTGTAGTTAGTTAGCTTAGAGCGCTAGCTGCCGTTACATAGCGACAAAAACTGCCTGGCTAACTAACGGGTCCGTTCTTCTTCTCATTATTAAAACAATTAAGACAAAGACTTCCAGCCGCCGTGACTAATCTTCCAGCTTCTCCTAGGTATGAATGGTGTTTCTTGGCTGTGTCATATTAATAGGAAAAAAAATCTGAAGAATGACCAAATAAAAACCGAAATTTGAGGCGGATTCCAGTTTGGGGTCTTGCGTTCAGCCAGCCAGCGCGGTGAGGGCGCTGCAGCCCCGCCTCCTCTAATACAGCCGGCACTACTTTTCTGCCATTGTGGTGAGGTCAAAGATTAAAAGACCTCACTCTGCATTGGTCTGCCAGCCTGATCCCTTATTACTAATATAGCAGAACAAAAAGAGCTAAAAATACATAAATGAAATTAGTAAAGCACTACATTGAGTAACATAGATCATACTCATGTATGACTTACATGGCAGTGAAATTTTTATTTTATTTTATTTCATTTTATTTTAGTGTTATTTATGTGTGGATGTATGTATTGTCCTTTCATTTGAATAGGCTCAATATAAATCTGTATGTTCAATTCGTCCAAGATGTAATTGGCATTAGGGTTCATTTTAATCTTTAAAAAAAACATAAAATACAAAAGAAAAAAAAATGTCAGTGTCAGAAATATTCTCCCTTATGTGGGGAAAGCAAGGGTGGAAAATACTCACTTTACTCAAGTGTTATTGAAAAGAATGCTTGTAGTTTTACTCAATTGCATTTCCAAATGAAAAAAAAACATACTTTGACCAGGAGACTATCGAGTTCCTGTGTATTTGATATGCATATTTTTATTTAAAAAATCCCACAAAATTAATATTAGTGTAAAATGATACTGCTCGCAACTATGTGAATTTCTTTGTTCGAGGATTATTATCACTGATCATGCACCACTGTGCGACTCACCACCAAACAAATAAAACTTCAAATTATTCTGTGTCTCTGGAGGAGGATTACTGGAAACCTTCGCAAATAAAGAGACTTGGAGGCTTATTTGTGAATCAGAATATTTATTTGCCACATAGAAGATGTACACCAAATTTCTCTCAGCGTCAACATAAATTTCAATAAAAACACAGAACAAATATAGACAGAAAATATACAACCCAAAATAATCTACAAGTGATGTGAGAAAATGCAAATAAACACATTTGTTATGCAAAGATGCAGAGAGGAACTAGGCAGAGAATTAGGATGTAATGGTGTAAAACTGTACCACCAGAGCTTGAGGCAGCTTAACTTTTCTGTAGCTGTCACGGGAAGTGCAAAACTTCTTTGTAACTAGTGTATCTGACCCATTTGAGGGTCAACCGAATAGTAGTCCAGGAATTGTGTTGTAATACAGAGTTAAGGCAAATGGATCTGTGGTAAAATCTTGAAGACCTTTTGTGACTCATCCGACCTTTCACCACCACTCATCTGACTAAGACCCATAAATGAGTGATGAAATGTCTTTAAAGGGCCATATACTTACATTTTCTCATTTTCTTTTTTTTTCCTGTGGTCCACTGGTGACATTTATGTGGGTTCATATACCAATAATAGTTATAATTCAATTTAACTTGACCATTTCCGACTTCTCTGTATCCATTGAAATTAAACAGTCTGTTTTTTATTACTGACCCTTAGAAAAGGGTTGGTTTTCATGATATTGTGAAAACAGTATAATCAAAACTGGCCATTTTTGCAGCATATTTACCATATATGGACTGTATGGACTGAGAAGGGAACGGTATGGTTTGCAACTATAATAGTGTTTACATATTACTTTAAACTGTTTTTTTTTCCCCAAAATAGTCAGGAAAAGTATTTTTCCATGATATGGGCTCTCTACACTTATACAAGTCCAGCGGTACTAAACATTTCTGCTCCAAGAAGCTACCACACATTTAAAATGAACCTCCTCAAGATTATACCACAACTCCAGACCCTGGAGATTCACTACTACAACTAAATGACCTGCTGGATGACTGAAAACCTCCACAAATGCTTAGAGGGAAGCTTAAAAAATGAAAGAAATAGCTTGAAAGGGAGGTTTAGGGAAGTGAGCACCAAAAAATCCTTCATTGCTCCCAAAGATGTTTCCTCCAGAGCATGGATCAAACATTCTCATGTTATTGCTGAAAATTATCTTCTCAAGTACTTTAATTAGCTCATATGATTTTATTAACTTTATTAGAGCAGTGCCTCCTCACTCTCCAGTCCTGGAGGCTCCAGCTGCACTGCTCCTGTCACATCATTAACTAATGATCAAGTTCTTTATTAGCTTAATTAAGTATATTAGAGCTGGAAAACATGAAACTGTGCAGGTGGACTGCAGGACTGGAGCAGTAAACACTATATTAGGCTAAAGAACAGATTCCCCAGTGGTCATTCCTGTTTATGGCTGGTTATATAAATATGCTAATGGTAGCCTACAGTCTGTGATTTTAAAACAACAAAAGCTAAGAAGTGCCTGTAGGGAAAGTTCAGGGAAGGACAAAAAAGTCAATCGCTGCTTATAGAAACAGCCTTTCTGGGCCACTGACCTTAAATTATATGTAAAAAAAATAGAAATTACTAATAATTCATGGATTTATTGGTAATAATCCATAATCCATGTTGCATTGGTGGAATGCACCTAACGCTAGGTCCAGATCCTGCAGATCAAAATCCTCATTAAGAATATCTCAGCCAGTTTGCATTGTTTTCCATGTAGTTACTGAATACTAACCCTTAGCAAGTAATAAGTCTGGGATTTTAAGGAGTTAAAAACCTAGTTACCTTTATCCTCATGTAACATGGCATTTTATTCATTCATTTGGCAAATCTTGTTTTGTATCCATTCTATTTTCTCTCAAGGCCTCACAAAATATGCTTCACACTTTCAACACATTTGTTTACACTCTTGTGACTCTCTAAATTTTAATATACTCAAAATATGGAACAACTAAAGAGCTGAAACTGCAATGATGGGACGACATCTGGTGGTAATAAACTCAAAGTCCTTTCCTTCTCAGCTGACAAGACAGGACTCGTATTCACAAAGCCTCTTAGAGCAGGAGTGCCGATCTAAGATTTGTTCCAGCCGGTAAAATCAAAGTAAATAAGGCATGAATCTGTTCCTAAATCAGCACAAGAAGAGAGGATTTCAAATAATAGAAGCATCCCCAGTAAAGCAGATGTCCTGAAGCAGTTTCCCTGTACAATATGCTTAGCACACTTTCTTTGAGTTAATCCATGCAGTGGATTGTGTACTTTCTAAACTGGACTATATGTGGTTGGAACATGGTCTGTCATGTTCTGTGGACACTACAGAAAATGCATTCTTTGCCGTTCGTTCCCTTCAGCTTGTTCCTCAGCAATCAACAGGGCTCCAAAGTCCCAGAGGATGAGGACTCGTACCTTTGGTTCCCCATTACTTAAAATAATCATCCAAACTTATTGCCTCAAAAAAATAAAGTAAAGTTACTTAACAGCTTTGTATTTGAGTTATACACTCTTAAAGATGGTTCTTCAAGAGTTCTTTAGTAAAGAAAATGGTTACATATAGAACCATGAACACTCAAAGAACCCTTCGAATGTTTAGAGGGTTCTTTGCATCATGAAAGCGTTCTTCAGATTGATTGAAAATGTGCATGAATGTGCTATAAATGGTTCTACATAGAACATTTTGAAAATGAGTCTGTATAGCACCCAAAAGGGTTTTTCTATTGTTGCAGGCTTGAATCAAGAATTTTTTTTCATGCTATATAGAACCCTTTTGAAAAAGGTTCCTTCTGGAACCATCTACAGCATATTCTCAATCAATCCAAAGAGGCTTTACATGATGCGAAGAACCTATTAATTATGGTTCGATATAGAAACATTTTCTTTACTAAAGAACTCTTGCCGAACCATCATTTTTAAGAGCGTTATATTTAAGGCTTTAATGACCTAGAACCTTTTTACATCACAGAATGTCTGTCTGTTTATGTTCCAGCACGTGATCTTAGATCTGCAGATACTGACCTTCTGCAAACACTATAAAATACAGAAATCGGGGAGAGACTTGTTTAGTTATTCTGCTTCTAAACTGTGGAACTCAAATCCACCTTTAATTAGAAAGTCAAGCTCAGTGCTCACGTTTAAGAAACATTTGAAGAAGTATCTCTTTAACTGAGTGTTTGATTAAAATTCTCTGCCTCTTTGGTATTTATCTTTTTAACTTGATCTGTCATTGTCTGGTCTATTACTGTAAAACATTATCACCTGTCTGTAAAGCACTTTGAGCTGCCATTGGCATGAAAGTGCTCTCTCTATATGAAAATATTATTATTATTATTATTATTATTATTATTATTTTCAATAGTTTCAGTTCAGCTGGCAGTACTCTGCTTTCTGAGTTGTGCTTACACTTGAATTATTTAGGTGAACTTGAATCAAATATTGTTCTCTGTGTAATATATTAGTGTCAGTTGAAACAAATCCATAATTTTCCACATATTCTTTCATAAACTAATAAATCAGTGACTCAGAGATGACCAGATTTACTTGTAGCTTTATTGTAATTCTGTTGAGAAACTGCTTGGTGGTTGTTTTTCACCCCGTTCTCCTGGCTTTGGGCTGTACTGATAAACCTGAACACAAAACACCATCATGGTGAGAATAACAAAAACATGTAAAATGCATCCAAACCTTGGATTTATCATGAGAATATGCCTTGAAATGCTCACAAATTACTGAACACAACTATTGAAATGTTATAAAAATGAGAGTTAATTAACAGAAACCAACAAAACCGCTAAGAACGCTGGGAAGCTTTTTGGACAAAAGACTCAGTCTGTAAGACTTATAAATTACTGATCTTAGCTAAATTTTCTCAGCTAAATAAAGCATCACAGAAAAAACGGCAATACTAGATTTGCACTAGTACTTTTTTGTAGGATACAAAAAAATTTCCCCATTCTTGTTTGCGGTTCAGTTCCCTATTCTGCATACGCATGAACTAAGGAGTTTACAAAGATTTTTTTTGGTGATAATCCCAAAATCTCTTTCAATTTCCCTACATAATATTTGCAGATCTTTTATTTAGATGTGTTATTACAACTTTGCACCTGCTAAAAACATTACAGAAAAATAAAGGGTGTTGACTGGCTCTATTAAAATGGCAAGCCATGAGGTACCCTTGTGAAAATCAGTTCAAATCCTATCTGTTTCTCAAAGTAGCAGAAGGTAAAGGGTTTT